ATTTATTGTAGAGATGAGGTCTTGCTACCCAGGCGGGTCTTGAACCTGCGGGCTCAGGCAGTCCACTCACCTCAGCCTCCTAAAGGCGCAGGATTACAGGCTGAGCCACTGAGCCTGGCTTACATACTTGTTAATAACAGCTCTCTCCAAGTTAAAAACTAGAAACAATCCACCCAAAGTCTACCATTGGATAAATAGATATACAAATTGTGATATAGCCATACAGTGGAAAATGACTCAGACTGATGTGGTGGCTCTAGCCTATAATCCCAGCTACTCAGGAGGTTGAGGCAGGAAGGAAATCACTTGAACCCAGGAGTTTGAATCCAGCCTGGTCAACATAGTGAGACGCCCATCTCTAAAAAAATAAATTAATTAAAAAAAAAGAAAACTACTCAAGAAAGTATTGATACATACAACAACATGGAAGAATCTCAAAATAATTATGCTGAGTGAAAGAAGTCAGACAAAAGGGAATTCATACTGTATGGTTCTACTTCTGTTAAATCCTAGAAACTGCAAACTCATCTATAGTGACAGAAAGCTGTCAGTGGTTACCTTGGGCCAGCATAGGCAGAGAGAGGGAATGATTATAAAAGGACATGAGGATACTTCTAGGAGTGATGTATATGTTCACTATCTTGAAGGTGTTGATGTTATGAATATATGCATAAGTCAGAACTCGTCAAATTGAAGTCAGTTAAACTTCAGTAAAAACTGTGAGTACATGCATACAGGATCCCTGTTTTCTTTCCTTATTCCTTTTCCAATAGGTAATCACTTTTAACAGCTGAATGTATATTTCCAGAACATTATGTAAAACATATGTTGGCAACATATTTATGCATCTTGCATTTTTATAAACAATATCAACCGGGCTCGGTGGCTCAGCCTGTAATCCCAGCACTTTGGGAGGCTGAGGTGAGTGGATTGCCTGAGCCCGTGGGTTCATGACCCCCCTGGGGAACTTGGTGAGACCACATCTCTACAATAAAATCAAAAATTAGCTGGGCGTGGTAGCACGTGCCTGTAGATCCAGCTACTTGGAAGGCTGAGGCAGATGGATCACCTGAGCCCAGCAGACCAAGGCTGCAGTGGTCATGAGTGTAGTGGTGCACTCCAGCCAGGCGACAGAGTGAGACTCCTATTCAATAAATAAAGAAATAAAATTTAAAAAGAAAACTACTCAAGAAAAGAGTATTGATATATACAACAACATGGAAGACTCAAAATAACTATGTCTGGACAACAGAACAAACTTCTGGCTCTAAAAAATAAATAAATATCTTATTTGGTCATTATTCAAACTTATAGGTGTGGAAAGGTAATTCTGTTCCCATTTTACAGATCAGGAAACAGATTTAGAGAAAGAAAGTGGTTTGCCTGACATCAGACAGCAGTACAGCCAGATGTTTAAACCCAGATGCTCAGTAAAAAAAGGATAGAATGACAGCTTTTATTATTTCCATTAGAATGTTCTACAGTGGTGAAAATACCCCTGTAAGATTACCACTAGTTGCATATTGAGCACTTGAAATGTGCCCAGTACAGCTGACAAACTGAATTTTTAAGTTTGTTTTTGTTTTTTTTTGAGTCATGGTTTTACTCTGTCACCCAGGCTGGAGTGCAGTGGCATGCTCACGGCCACCACAGCCTTGACCTGCTGAACTCAGGTGATCCTTCCACCTCAGCCTTCCAAGTAGCTGGAACCACAGGAATGTGCCACCACGCCTGGCTAAGTTTTTTATTTATTTATAAGCCACCATGCTTGGCTTTTGTTAAAGTTTTTTTGTTGTTGTTTTGGGTTTTTTTTTTGAGTTGGAGTCTCACTCTGTCGCCCAGACTGGAGTGCAGTGGCCGCTCCCGGCCACCGCAGTCTCGCCTGCTGGGCTCCGGCGATCCTTTCGCCTCAGCCTTCCGAGTAGCCGGAATCACAGGTGCACACTACCATGCCCGGCTGATTTTTTGATTTATTGTAGAGATGAGGTCTTGCTGCCCAGGCGGGTCTCGAACCCACGGGCTCAGGCAATCCACTCACCTCAGCCTCCCAAAGGCGCGGGATTACAGGCTGAGCCACCAAGCCTGGCCTTGTTAAAGTTTTAATTGCCAAATATGGCTAGTGGCTACTAACATGGATAATGTAGTATGCCATACCAGGCCTCTCCAAACTTTTGTATAATTAAGAATCTGAGGTGCTTGCTAAAAGTGCAGGTTCATGTGTTCCCTCTGGGATGGAAACTGACAGTGTGCATTATTTTTTGTTTGTTTTTGGTTTTTTGGTTTTTTTTTTTTTAAGTTGGAGTTTCACTCCGTCGCCCAGACTGGAGTGCAGTGACCGCTTCCGGCCACCGTAGCCTCGACTTGCTGGGCTCCAGTGATCCCTCCACCTCAGCCTTCCAAGTAGACATAATTACAGGCGTGCGCTACCATGCCCGGCTGATTTTTTGATTTATTGTAGAGATGAGGTCTCGCTGCCCAGGCGGGTCTCAAACCCTTGGGCTCAGGCAATCCACTCACCTCAGCCTCCCAAAGGCACGGGATTACAGGCTGAGCCAACGAGCCCAGCTGATTTTTGATTTATTATAGAGATGAGATCTCACCAAGTTGCCCAGGCGGGTCCCAAACCCGCGGACTCAGCAATCCACTCACCTCAGCCTCCCAAAGGCACCGGATTACAGGCTGAGCCACCGAGCCCAGCTTGTTTTTTGTTATTTGAGTCAGAGTCTCACTCTGTCACCCAGGCTGGAATGCAGTGGCACACTCACCGCCACCACAGCCTCAACCTACTGGACTCAGGCAATCTTTCCACCTCATCCTTCCAGTAGTTGCAACTACAGGTGCATACCATCACACCCAGCTAATTTTTTTATTTATTGTAGAAATGAGGTCTCACCATGTTACCCAGGTGGGTCTAGAACCTCTGGGCTCAGACAGTCCTCTTGCCGCCTCTTCCCAAGCTGTGGTATTACAGGCATGAGCCTCTACGCCTGACCTTATAGCAGTGATTCTTTTTTTTTTAATTATAAAAATGTGGGGTACAAACCCGGCTCGGTGAGTGGATTGTCGAGACTCGCCTGGGCAACTTGGTGAGACCTCATCTCTACAATAAATCAAAAAATCAGCCGGACGTGGTAGCGTGCGCCTGTAG